ACTTGACTGACTTTTAAACAAGTACATTTAAAAATATAAAATATAAATAATTGGAATTCAATATTTTGTAATTTAAATAACTTTTTAAAGTCTTTATAATTAAAAAAGGAAAACAATTTAAAGCTTAATAATAAAACTTAAAATATATTCATGTGAGTTACCTCCTTTGTATTCATTTTACTGATCTTATTATTCAAATATTAAATTTCTTTTTTCTTATCTTACAAAAGATACCACACTGTAGCTGGTTTTATATGGGCCAACCTTTCTGTTGTCGTTTGTTTTTTTAGGGGTACAAAATGCGATCAACAGGACCCGGCCGTTATGTTTAATTGCTGCTCACCGTAAAGTTTGCTCTATAAACATTTTAACTAGGCTCATAAACAGACTAATAGACGCCATCAAGTCGTTTGCATGATTTATGCTTCCCGGTGTGTTATTTGTTGTTGCTTTTTTGTTGTTTTGGTTGCTGCCCCCTTCGTGACGTTAACAATCTATATAGAGGACACATAAAAAGGCTGTAAAAAGCCAGGCAGACATGTGGGTCCGTACGGGGACATAAACTGCTGCAGTAATTGAGGCGGACCATTGTTCCAACTCCCCGATGGTGCTTAATCAATACCCGAAATGCGCAAAATAACCAAAATGAGAGCAGCCAGGGCCAAGGGAGCATATAAATATATACATCGAAATAGGAACAGCTACGGGAATAGCAATGCAATATAAATATTTGACGTGCGAGAACGCCTGGCTTCGAAGTGAGTTGTTTAGCAGGCGACATAACAATTGCAGATTTGCTGAAATTGCTTTTACCGGCTGCAGACACATACATATATGTACTCACACTCCCTTCAGCTAATGCTCCTTCCAATCCTCCCCAGAATCCTGCAGAAGTGCGTATGTCCTCGTCAACGTGTTGTAATCAAATGGAACTTGACGTTGGAATTGCGCAAATTGCGCTTTTATGTAGGCTGTCGATTTTCTTCCCTTCACTCACACTCAAGCAAACACACACATACATCTTTTTCTTTCCTCTTTAGCTACAGTGGAGCCTTTTTAAGCGAATTGTTGTTTACTTGTGTCTAGGAGTGTTGCTCCTTAGCATGAAGAGTGTGTTTAAGGTGAGCTTTAATTTAATTGGCTTCGGGCTTAATTTTATGGAGGAAGCGAAACTCTCAAATTGAAGGAAGTGTGTGCTTGGATTTGCAGCTAGAAATTTAAGGGGTCTGAAATTCATATAATTATAAATTGACATCTATAACACATTGAGATTTACTTTTTTTATTATTTTCAAGACTAAGTAGCTTTATTTTAATATAATCACTGTTTCATGAAAAGCCAATATGTTAAATTACCGATGCTTTAAACAATTTCTTTAATCGAAACTATAGAATCGCTTTGAAAGTTACTCCACAAAAAAATATAAAATAATCATAAGGATAATATAATCAAAGGGCAATAAAAACACTAATTTACCCTTTTTTTTAAACACCAACAAAAAGCGGAAATTATGCATAATGCCTAAAAAACTGATATGCTGAAAAAATACATGACGTTTACCCTACGTTTTAATTATAAAATGATTGATTCTTGGAAAATAGGAAACCGAATGCATAGCCGCCAGGAAATCGATAAATAATTTGCACATTTTTAAAGACCTTTTCGTGACCCAGGATCCACTGTATATCCTTGGGGGCCAACTTGAGTAGCACATCTGTCAAATAGCTATTCGGTCTTTGTTCTACGCTGGCCTCTCTTCCGTCAGGCGACTCCACCCCGAAAATTAGCGCCGAGCCTTTCAAATTGAAAACGTGAACCATGCGGTTCATTGGTAATTCATTTATGCGCACATTTGCCAGAATACCCCAGAATACCCGGCCACCTCAGACCGCCAGTCAAAGTGGGGCGAAATTGGATGGCGGATGGGGGTGTCTATATAGATGGGTCTACGACCAATTCCGATTTCTCTTCTCGTCTCTTTTAGGTGCTGCAGGTGTTTCGCATAAGAAATGGGCTGCTGGCATCGATGGAAGAAGGCACACACCGGCATTAGATGTAATTTATACTTCTCGCCAGTCGCCACCACGCACGACTTGACGTCATGATAATGTATCGAATTCATTTTCCAGTTACTTTGGTTGCCAGTGTCTGGAGGAAAGCAGAGTGCAGAGTAACCGTGCAGCGTTTTGTTTGCCAAACATCGCAAAACGCTTTCGACACATTCCCCATTCATACTCAATTACCTACGTGGGTTTTTTTTTTTTTTAGGGGCTCCGTTGCACGTGGCCAAGTTTTTTGGCCCGAGTGTTGGCAGAGCTCCGTAGCTCGCTTCACTCCACTTCACTTGGCTCCTCTTTTATATTTTTCGTTTTATTTTTTTCCTATTTTATTTCACTCTAGCTTTTGCCTTGTGTGTTTGAGTTTTCTGGCCGTGCCAACAACGTTCAATGACTTGGCCAGAGCCAAAAGTTCGATGCAAATATTTGACCAGTGGCCAGACCCATCCTTCGGGCACTGCAATTATTTATTTGATTTCATTTTGCGTTAGCCAAACACCGGCCAAAAGTTCTGCTCAAATATGCAATTTCTATGCACACGAGACTTCAAAATGTTCATATTAAAATTATTACTATGGAGCGGGGCAAGCTCGTAAATTTGACTTTGTGTAATTTACTGAGAGGCCAATTGAATTCGAGGCTTGCTAACTGAATTCAAGTGTGGCATTGCCAAATAAACAATATTTAGTTGCGGCCTTTTCCGCTAAATCAATCATAATCAATATTTAAATTGGTGAAATTGGGAAGTTTTTTTTTGTTAGCGAAAGCACGTCAAAGTGACTGGAAATATTTTTTGTATTGGTATTTGTGGGACGAAACGGAAATAACAGGTGGAATTTACTTTCTTTTCTCTTTAATTTGACCGCCGTCAAACAGGAAAATGCACTTAGAGTGAATTGATTGATTGACGGAAGGATGGATGGATCACTATTAGCTAAAACCGAGTGAAATCGATGCTAATTCTTCTTGTGTTATTTCTGCAATTTTAGATGGTGATCGGCGGCTGTTTTAACACTATTTCGACATATTGGCGTAATTCAATTGAAAATGTTGTGCATGTCGGATGCATAAGTCAGCGAAAAATCGCTAAAAAAAATTGCCAACATTTGTTGGTGTTGCCCTTTGGCCGTTGTAAATGGCTAAAAGCGCGACGTTCGATGTTTATTTGGCCGGAGTTTAATTATTTTTACGCCCACCTGACTACGACCACGCCCTAAGCGGAAATTGCATAGTGTCGCTATCGCAGTTGCCGCCTTTTTGTTTTATTTTAATTGAATTTTGAAATACGTCCACGCCCGTCGCATATTTTTTTCTCCGATTTACTTGTTTTTCCGTTTGCTTTTTTTACCGTGCATTTTTTTCGTTTCATCCGTTGCACCAAAAATGCAATTAATTCGAGCACTTTTTGAATTGTTCCAATGACCCTTCTTTGTATTTGTTATTTGTTGCCGTCTCTGCAATAAATTCCTGCCGCTTTAAAAATAAATCAAATACATGAAGGACTCCGTTTCGCCCTTCTCTGCTCTCTGACAATTGTTAATTAAATCAGTTTTCGGTGTTGCCAATTGAAATGGAATCCATTTACACTTAAACTGTGTTAATATCGCGCTGAAAACTATATTCAAAGGCCGAAAGACGTGCCTTGTACTAAATTTGCCGTATTAACCTGAATTAGAACATTTTCCACCGCTTTCAACTAAAATGTTTTGGCAACATAATTCGGGCTGTTGTGGTGAGCTATTTTCCCATAATATTTGAAAGTACACAGATTTTAAACTGGGCTTAAAGGCAAATTGTACCTAAGCTGAATTGCATCCATACAAATGTTGCGATGATTTAAGATATACCGAATTTTTCAATAAACAAAATTCAATTTAAAAATACAAGGAGAAAAATAATTGTTGACAAGACAACTTGTTGAGAGTTTCCCAAAGGGTTAGCCAAAAACTATTCCCTGGTTTCTCGAAATAAAAGTTTAAACCATTTCCTTGGCAAACCAACCAAAAGCCGATTTAAGTTTCTTTTAAACTTTCTGCAGTTTATTGAATTTTTCCCTTTTGGGTGAGTTCACATTTGTTCATTTATTTAGACCACTTTTGTTCAGATGGATGCGAGCGTTAACTTTTCATTGCGAGTTTTGGTCAAGGCCCGCCAGGCGTATACGCAATATTGTTACATTTAATGGAATATGCACGTCCGGGCATAACTTTGTGCAGCAGTTGGCAAAACTAATTGTTAATTGAAACTAAAATCCCGAGCTGGAGCGGACAATTACGGGCCAAAAAGGAAAGGAATCGCCGCCAAACAAATGCCAACAATTAACTGCGGCAACAATATGGCAGAAAACGCAGAAGCCTTTAGGGTTCAAATGGGTTGTACACAGAAAAATGTAAAATAATAATGTTTTTAATAAATGTTTTTACCCCTAATACGTACAAACGGGGAATCAATTTGATGTTAGGTAGGTGGAATATTGTGGGAGTTTAAATTTGAATAGAATTTATTTATTGTAACAAATTTATTTTAATGCAAAAGAGAGAGACTGGAAAGCTATTGCAAAATAAAAATAAACTAAAAAAAAAAGAAAATCGATTTTCATTAAAAAATTTTTTTTAAAACAACTCTAAAGTTTGCAAAATACACGGTTTTTTGTATCTATTTATTTGTTAATTACAAATACAATAACTATAATAATAGGTGTTAAATAATGTGAAGATAATCCATGTAACCCATTCACTATATTAATTTTTTTTCTAATTACGAATTTTTTTTTTTGTGGTAATCTACCAATCGACTCAGTGAAAGCATTTAAATAAATGCTAAAAATAAGATTAAATGACTATCCATTTGATGTTGTTTACCCCTCATCATACGGAAACCAGTATCAGTTTAATCAGCGAATATTAAAAAATATATATATGGATTTTTTATCTGTGCACTTACCGCTCATTACAATGACGACGAGGAGCAGCAGCCAGGCCACGCAGAGCGGCAGTGGGTGGGCGGTGGGCATGGCGACTCCGGCGGTGGAAATGACTGGGCTTAAACAACAACGATGATGATGGCGATGGCGATGGCAACGACGGCGACGGGCGGCGACAGGAACAAGATGCGGAAATGCAGTAAGCCTGGCCGGCAGGACGAGGGCGTTGCAGCTTCAGACCTTGTTTTTGTGCCTGTCTGTCTGTCTGGTGGATGGATGATGGAGGTTGGAGGATGCTGGTGCTCGTCCTGGTTCCTCTAGGCTGGCAGCAATAACCAAGTTAGCAGCCTCATCATCAGCATGGGCGGCAGCAGTTGCTGCTGCTGCAGCAACGTCATTATCGGCCCTCCCGGCCCTCTTTATTAACTTGGCCAATTGCCAGACCTCCTCGCCCGCAAGGCAGACAAAGGCAACTTAGCCGCCGTTTGGCTTTTCTATTTGCCGCTTCTGTTTTATGCCGTAGTACACGAAATGCGGCCTGTAAAGAGCAGAACGGAGCGGAGCATTACAATCTGTTGGTTGGACTGACGCGAAAGTTATTGCAACTGACAAAGCTGGCTAAATGGCCAACGGTCGGGGGTTTATTTTCTCTTTTTCTTCTGAGGTGGTTGGACTGGAAGAAGAAACTGCCCAACTCCCCCAACTCAAATTCACTCATTGGCAGACTCTTGAGCGGATTCTGCTTCGCCTTCTGCCACTGCAACAAAATCAAAAACGACAACGGAAATGAGCAAAATGATAATGGGGCATGCCGCCTGCATAATGATGGCAGTGCAGTGGGAGAACAGTGGAATAAAACCGAAGATTTAAGAACAAAAATTATAATTACCGAATATTAAATTAACTAGTGAATTATTTAGAAAATATTTGGCATATTTTATAAAAGTAAAATTTTTCTTAATTTATCCTTTCAAAACATTTTCAAATTAAAGCATTTTAAACTTATTTTATTGGTATAGCCAACATTAAGCCAATAAAATATTGATACATTATGCCATAAGCCATAACACTTAATTTGGTACCAAAGTAACTCTTAGCGAAATGTATCTGTACATTTCATTGCCGAAGTATATTTTTAAGTAGCTTAACTGAACTTACAGCCATGACACGGATATTGCACTTTACGAGCTCGCAATCTCCGCTTAATCCCACAAAGTATTGACCGTCCCACCGTTTCTGCAGTCAGAAGTACATTTTCGGGTTTCATTTGCGCCTACTTAAAAATTCTGTGAGGCCACGTGCTCAATCTCTGGCAGCAGCTTGGGAATTTAATTTGCTAAATATAATTTTTTTCATTTTTTTCCTTTTTTTTTTTTGTGTTACTTCGCCAGACAGCCGACTGGCAGGGCTGGAAAGTTTAAACAGTAATTAAGTTAATTGCCTGTCTGCCAGTCGGCTTAGTAATGTCCCCCACTGCTTAGTTTGTTTTATTCAAGTCGGGATCGGAGTGGCGTCACTATACTTCACTATTCCAACGCACTATAATTATGGGCTCCCAGTGGGGATGATCGATTCATCGGCAGTAATGCCATAATAATGGCAGCGGGCACATTTATTACGCATACGCCGTGTGCACACGCAGTAATGTCGGGGTGGGGAAATTTCGATTTTTGCGCATTTATCTAGTAAAAATTGTTCCGGCACTCGTTGCCATTATTCGTAACGAGGAGTTGGGGGGCCAGAGAATTCATAATTCTAATGCATGGATATTATGTGCTATAGTCTGCACATGCAAATTACCGCTACAGTGAACAGCCATATAGGGTGCTATATCATCCCGCCCACTTTTTCCACAACTTTTCCTCCCCTTCCGCACTTATTGTTAGGAAACGGAAAGAAGGCAGCAAAGCAAAAAAAAAAGCCATTTTTGCTATTATTGTTAGCTATCGGTTGTGCACGAAAAAAAAGTAGAGTAACTTTTAACTTAGATAATATTAAAATATATTTAATTATTATATATCTAATTATTTAATTTTTATATGCTTAAGGATACTCTTTATGTTTGCAATTTTTTTTAAGTATTCAGTTACTAAATATTTCTTTCTGTGCAGCAACGTGTGTGTTCTTAGTGTTCTGCAGACATGCCAGCCTTCAGACTTTGGAAAGCAATTTGCCACGCACTGTCAGTGAAGTTGAACGCAGTGGAACATTTCTAATTTTCAGCTACGAAAAATGTATACAATAAAAAGCGCTGGCCAACCAAAAAAAAAAAACGTAAGAAGAAAAGCCAGCGAGCTGCCAAAATTTACATAAATACACATATTCACACGAACACTCGTTCGCTGAAATACATTCACAGATGCGCAATGTAAATTCTATAGTACAAAGATTTGCTTTTACTTTTACGTTTACGTTTCTCGTGAAAGTATTTTCTTCTTTCCGTTCCATAATCATTAAAAATTCTTCGAGGTCGCGCAGATCTGTGCTTTAAAATTACTAATGCAAATGTAACGAAATGGTTCTTGAATAATTGATTTTGACGAAGTCATTTCTTGGTTGCTGAACAAAAACATTACAAATATTTAACGTCTTATTCAGTAATTCAATATGAGTGTGGTTTTTAATGTGTTAATATTTTATTAATTACCTTGCAATTTAAGTAAAGTTATTTTTTATGGTAAAAGCAAGAATATCATATTATTTTTGTTTTAATAAGATTTATATAGTTGAAGAAGAAAAATTAGCCCAATGTGCTTAATGTTGTAATGAAGTTCATTTTAATCATATTTTAATAACAACATTAATTATAATTCCGGGAACAATGAACAGGGTTAAAACACGATAAGCTCCACGTTTACTCTGGAGCCATTGTAATATTTTGATCTTTGGATTGTTAACAACCTTAAGCCTAAGTCCATGGGTCGTGAACTTAATCCATTGGATTACAAATCCCACCAAATCGTGCCTCATTTTTCTTTCCGTTTCCCTTATAATTACTGGCAGGCAGGCGAGCCAACGAAAGGCACCGAAATCGTCTACAAAATGTATATAACATTATAAAGCAATTTGCAGTAAATCACCCAAAGCGACGCGCGTGTTTATAAATCACAAGCAGCCCAAAAGCTTCTTGCCGGATTCTCTTCCTTTTTTTTTTTTTTTGGTGAGTATCCCGCTGCTTGAGAAAACCAAAATCGAAATGAATAATTAATATGTCGCGCCTGCCGCAGACGGAGAAAGTCTTCCATCTTGCGACTTCCATCACGGGGAGCAGAAAGCAATTCCAGGTCGGGCCAAAACAAAGTTAGCAGACCAACAAAGAGTGCGGCTCATGTGAATCCCTGCGGCGTCTGGGCCGAAAAACGAAAAACGGGCCATAACAAAAATTGGGCCAAAGTCGGCAAAAAGCGCTCGACGAGATTGACAAATTTGCCACAGCAAATGAAATGCTTGACTCGGCTACGACTGCTTAATTTTTCATTTATGACAATGTTTACGTAATTCGACAGCCAAAACAACTTCCCAGGCCCGACTTTTCCTAACTCCTCCTCTCCCTACTTACCCCTGAAACCTATAAGCAAATGGGCGCTCATTTATTGTCATCCCCCGGAATGGGAAACTCTTGGCCGATATGGGGTTTTCCGTGGGAAACCCATTCCACCCAGCGGTTGTCTGTTGTTGTGTCTGCTGGAAAAGTCAAAGTCAGGACACCGTGTGGCTGTTACGGGCTGCAGCAATGGCTTTTAAACCGTTTTAAATGGCCGGCGATTTGTTTGAATGTTGTGACATAAAACTGCAATCTATGGCCCATTCTTTGGGGGAAAACCAAGGTAAGCGGCACTGGAAAATCTGTCTAAATAGCTCCATCGACCGGCAACAAGCCGATTCACCAGTCCATTTGCCAAAGTATCCTGCTGAAAAGGACCTTGGGTTGCTCGGTTGTCCCTCAATAATCAAAGATCTTGTGCAAATTGAGAGTAACAGCTTAAGGATTAACTCTGGAGGAGATTGAAAATGCTGCAGGGATTTTAAAAGCAAAACAAAGGGAGCAGAAACCGCAATTTCTATGTTGCTTTGATATATATAGGCCCATTTAGCTTAAGTGATCGTTTGGAAATAGATATTCCTGATGATAATGTTAAATATAGGAAAACAGGGTCAGAGAAACATTCACAATTTAAAGTAGCCTAAAGTTAAAGAGCTGAACAAATAAACCTTTTAAAATTGTCATCGTTTAAAGTGAAATCTGTTATAAAAATAATTTAACTGTTTTTCTTTGAAATATGAAAAAGCAATTAAATCGAATAAACAACGAAAAACAATAGATCAGCTTTTTGTTTGTTTAAAGAATAAAATTCGTCTGCATATTAAATGGTAATAAAGTGCGAATAAATAATGCTAATAAAAGTGTGATATAATCCGTCATACTTTTGGGTAGTAAATTTCTCAGAAGACCCAAACACCTTAAGCCATAACTTTGCCAAAGAGGACGGATACTGGGCCAAATCAGGACCTAATTTGAATGCCTGAGGAGTAGAACAGCAATCCGTCAGATAAAATCCTAGTTGGTCGACGACAATTTACCATTCGAGCGACTCGTTATCCCTCGCCAAACTTTATGATAATTATGCAAATTATGCGCTGCTCCTAATTGATATTGACAACAATGGGTTGCTTTTCCGATGACCTTGGCGCCGGGTCATTAGTCAAACCATTGCAATTGACAAGCAGCCAGTGACCCCCAAAAATGGGCGGGCTGAAAATGCTGAAAACACGACAGCGAACCAAACCAAACCAAACCGAAAAAAAATATGAGAAAATTATTGTTTTGTTTGTTGGGGGGACCAGTGGCAGTGAAAGCCTTGCGCTTCACGGCATATTAAGCAAAATGAATAAATTACAATTGCAAATAGGCAATTTCCTACACTTCCTTCCTTTCGACAATTCACTGTACAGCAGAACACACAGTCGGTCGGTTGAGTTCTGCGGTGGCTGTCAACTTTTCGGGCGGTATTTCTGGTCTAAATAACGTCTAATTTGCAATTTTGTTTAATTGTTTGTGGCTTTGGATTTTGACATGATGCCGCTCAACCAACCACTTCGCCTTCCTAATTTTTGGCCATGGCGTGCGGCTGGATCGTAACTGATTGTTTGTGTTTTGCGTTATTTGAGGTTTTTAGTTTTGGGTCAACGTCAAAATCAACGTCAACGAAACAAAGGCACGCACCGGAAAACCCACTTCCGCTCGAGCTCATCCAACTGGCCAACTGGCATGTCTTGGCAAAATTATAATAAAAGGTTTATATGTTCCAAGTAACCAGCTGAATATCGAGTCGCCCCCTTTGACCAATTAAAGTCAGGCTAACAGACAAAGGATCCCTGGCTCAAATTATTGATATAGTAGCGGGCAGAAATTGCTCAATTTGAAAGGGATAGTTTAAAGACAATATCCATGGAAATTCAAGCCGTTAATTACAAGCCTCGTGGGCTTTCACTTCGAAGGGACATTACACACATTTGTGGCTCACAAAAGATAATTCCCTCACATCCCTGTAAATTAATATCTAAACCAAAGCAGCATTGAAGTATCAGTTCAAGAAGCTTACGATAATTATAGGCTTTTGCTTTCAGTTATTTGACAGTGAGTAACTAAGCAAGAAGTAGCTAGAGTAACTAATAACTAAATAACTATACTCTTCAAAAATTTTATTTACCTTTAAACAATTTATAAATATCTAGAAAATTATAAGAAACAGAACTAATAAAATAGCTTTATAATAAACAAGAAATTGTAGAGGCTCTATGCTCCCGGGTGGAGTGAAAGAATGTAATTTTTAATATGAAAAGGAAAAATAATAGTTGTACTTCTCTAAGTAAATGAAAGTGAATCCGAAGTAAAGATTTTGGCCGATTCTCAGACCTACTCAATACGCTCACAAAATTTCATGGGAATCCGTATAGCCGTTTCGGAGGAATATGGGAACGAAAACAGTGACACGAAATTTCATTTATAAGATTAGTAAATTATAATGGGATTTAGTCAAGCCCTTCTGATTTGTCTCTTAACCTAAGGAAACTTCTTATATTCTACAATATTTCTTTTACTCATTAAGTAGGATATAGTTATTATATATCGTTTTCACTTACCCCGCATATCCTGGACATAATTTCCTGTATTTACCCTGTAATCCAAGCGGCGTACTTCCTTCAGATTATTTGGGATTTAAAAAGTTGGCCTTCCACCTTGTTCAACATTGTTACACACACACACACACACTTGCGGACATCTGGCGTAATTCACGATGTGGTTTGCAGTTAATCTTTAATAGCAGCTTACTTTTCCATTCTCCAGTGGTTGCTTGGTGTTTTAATCACTTTTCGGTGTACTCCCGATCATATACATCGATTTTCCGAACTTCGCGACATTTTCCCAAAAAATCTTCCGCGCGCGAACCTTCCGACTCGAGATCAAATGACTGACTGAATCGTATGGCAGCGCGATCGACTGACGCAGCCGTTCACTCGCTAGCGCAGCGAGAATGAGAGGCTCTGAGCGTAAGCGACCGCAAATGAGTAGGTTTGAGCGTAAGCGGTGTATAATTGTGGGAGAGCGCGAGCGAAAGAGAAGCTTAGAGTGTGGCACTCGCTCATTGCGCTCATTAATAACTGACGTGGTTCAAATTGTGGGAGAGCAGTGGCTGTCTTCTCTCTTGCTCTTGCTGTGGTCTCAATGCGATAACTGCATGATCTCTGTTTCCGTTTCCTGCTGTTTAAGTATTAGTGGTACTCAGCAGAAATTATTACCACAATTAAAGGGCCTTAAACTTTTAATACATGCATAGCGTGCTAAGATACTTGCCTTACATAAATGTATTAGGTATTTATAAAGTGCTAGAGGTCCTATGTCTGCTTCGCTGGTCAACACAATTCAACAACACAAAAGTCAATGTTGCAACATTTTTCAAATATATGAAAAAACTTAATTCACTTGGAAATGATAAATGAAAACCACAAAAATTGAGTTAAAATGCTATGGTAGCGTGTTTGTCAGTGTGATGAGGTAGCAACTCACTTTATATGCGACAATATTGCAATTTTCTTACGGATCCCTAATTTTTTTCCAAATAAATTAAAGCCTATTTTACTCCACGATAATGTAGCTTTCTATCGGTGAAAGAATTTTTTAAATCGGACCAGTAGTTCCGGAGCCTATTCGCTGCAAACAAACAAACAAACAAACAAATTTTACCTCTTTATAATATTAGTAGGGGAATGTCGTCAAGGTTGGACAGTTGTCAGGGTCGGACACTTGCAATTTTTCTAATAACCCAACTATCGCCATCTGTGTGCGAATGTGGTATTAATTGTTATCACTGTGGGAAACTTTTCATCCCTAGCCGCATCCCATAACTGTTAATTTTCCTGTTTTGTTGACAGAGTGTCGTGATAGTGAAGAAAAAAGTATTCAAGAACGCGCTAAAAAAGTGGCATAATTCAGCGGAAAATATGCCATCCGCAGGGTAAGTTTAAAAATACGTTAAGTGGTTCCCCCTTAACGAAATCCTAAAAAAAATTTGTTCTAAATAAAGCGATTTGGTAGTTATGTTGTGCGGTAGGGTTATGACTCATGTTGTCAGGGTTGGACACTTTTTGTTGTCAAGGTTGGACACCCTTGGTTTTTTCCCTTTTGTCAGAATATTTTAATTTTTCCAATGTTTTTTACAGTTATTACAGTGGTAATTAATTACTTGATTCAACAAAAAGTGAAATAATTAGTAAATAAGTAAAAAAAAATAAATTCTTTGAGTAATAATTTATTTTCTCCCTTTGAGGAGGTTCACGCTACAAGCGAACGACGGAAGGAGGTAAAGTCGACTTGCATAATGCTGTCCTGGCCATTAAAGCAGTTAAGTTGGAGAAAGGAAAGTTAAAGACAGTAGCAAGGGCTTATGACCTGCCTAGAACGACTTTGCGGCGATATATTAAAAAAGTATTGTAGATGAAGAATATGAGGACATTTCTACTGTTACTGACGACGATCTCGAGAAGACCCTGAAAAAGTTATTTTGTTTGTCCTAATTGTTTGTAAAATTTGTTGATCACAATAAAAAAGAGTCAAAAGACATAAAATACACCTGATCCATGGATAATGTCCTCTTTTATTGCTACTTTTCTGAAGTAGCAATTCAAGTGTCCAACCCTGACTACAGTGTCCAAGCCTGACTACATTTTTTTTTTTTTTTAAATACTCGCCATTTCTATGTTTTTCATTCCACAACATAGTGCTCATTGTCAGACATACCTTTTGCCTTTACCTTTCAAACTATTTACTCAAATGATCTTAATTCTTATTAAAACGATAATTATAGGCAAGGGTCGAAAATGTGTCCAACCCTGACGACATTCCCCTATAGATAAATATTTTCCTTTGTTATTTTTCTTGCCCTGTATTTAACTGTCATACACCATTCATTAATTACCTATTAATTAATCCCCACTTAAATGTAGCGTCAAGAATATTAAACCACTGCCAGAAACCAACACAGTGCCTTCAGAAAGTAATCAGCCGAGTCCTTGTACTCAGTTACGGCCAAAGTCTGCGACGACTTTTGGCCAACAATAAAAGGCAGTCGAGTGGAGTCTGAATGACATTGTTCCTTTCATTCTGCTGCCAATTTCGCCCTTTCTTCCAGAAGGTCCTTACAAATTAGCTGTGCGAGTGCCTTGCACTTAGTTTTTGTCTGTGTACTTTTCAAAATTGGCTTTCACACGCCATTTGCATTTAATTGCCGAGCTGCTAGGGAGCTGAAAGGAGAATTGGTAAGAGGACGCCAGCCATGCTGGCCTTGTTAACAAGCGCATTTGCCTAAAACTGAGTACACAGTGTGAGAGCGGAATTCATTTGGCAAATCAAATATTATTGTTAATACCATTTCGACTATCTGCAGCAGTTCCAGTCCGGCAGTCCCCGGGGAAACCCATTCGATAAGTGCCAATTTGGCCATAATGGGCATTAAAGTTTCAGGCAATTTGAGGAGTGTGGCTTTAAGGCCAGCTGAAGACACTTAAACCGCCATCTATCCTCATCATCATCATCTTGACGGTATTTATTGTCAATAAAGCCTTGGCAAACAACAAATGCGACACAGAAAATATTGTAAGTGTGCAGTGAATGCCATCTAAATGTCTATATGCGATACATTTTGTATGTATTTTCTAGATTGAATTGGAAAGTCACCATATTCCCATTCCGCCGTCCGTATTTCGATCCCACTTCAATTGAAAATTGTCTGCGTGGCAAAAGTGAAATGCTTCGGCGAGAGTCTTCAATTCACAGAATCGAATCGAATCGAATCGAAACGAAACGCAACGAATCGACGTCTCCTCTGGTGATTTTGCTTCCTCCATCGAAACCCGCTCCCCAGATTCCCAAACTCGATGCCGTGATGCCATTGATGTTTTGCTGCGCACTCGAGTGTGTTTTCTTTAGTAATGGAATTTATTAATATTTCATTGTGTGGGCCCGTGAAAGTCATTGGGGGAGGGGGAGTTGGGCGGAGGAGGGCCACAACGAGGGCGCCTGGGATTGGGTTCCCATCGAGTTTGCGGCTGACTTTAAGGAATGTCAACAATTGCCAGCACTTTGAATGCTTCAGACATCCATCCCGCAGGCTCTTCACATCTATCGAAATGTTCTCAAAAAGCGAAAATGTTCACTCCTTCGGTTAAGTACTTTTTGAGGTTTCCATTATGAATCGCTATTGTAGGCCTACACAGCGGAAACAAATTAACTAAATTGAGCATTGATTTTGTGCATAGCAAGTTAAATGAACTCCTTGATGGCATGCTAAAAAGTACTTTACATAAATTTAACTTATATAGTAATTAATAAAAAAATTCTAATTGATAGAATTTGTGTTTTAGTACAATCCATTTATTTAATAAATCATATTTATTGTCTCTGTTTTAATGTGTTTTTGATATAATTTTCTTTGCAGTCAACAAAATGCCGTAAATGAAATTTAAATCTAAATGGTGGCTGTTCAAGACCCAACATTCATATTTCTTATCTTTCACTTGTGCTATTATCGATTTGAATACGGATTGGGGAAAGCATTGCATCTAATTGCCAACCTTAATTGCCATCGAAAGTGATTGCCCCATTTTTGCCAGGATATTTATCAATGTAAAACGGCAATTACTCAGAAGGAGTGTGTGTTTACGGCTGATTTGCCTAATTGCTGATGCTGAGGGACATTAACAATACATTTTCCGGCTGACTGACATTTCGGCAACATGTACTCGAAAAAGCCTGGGAGCAATCTCCGCTCCGGAAGCGGAGGTCCGAACTCTAAGCCATGCATAATTCATGTAGCAATGTGTTGTTGGATGCGAAATCGACAAAAAAAAAACAATTTAAACCTAGACGACAAATTGTTAAAAAATTCCAATAAAAAACTTTTAAGGTATGCTACTTTAAAATCGGAATAAAATTGGTAAAGTTATGGAATGAGAGGTGCAGATTTTTGGCAAATTTTGAAATTTGAAATCAAAAATGACAAAAATTCGACAAAAAAAATTGAAAATTAAACCTGAAACGCAGTTTGTTAGATAATGTTACTACAAAAAGTTTAAAATATTTCACCTTAAAATCGGAATAAAATTGGAAATGTTATGAACTGAAAAGAAAAATGATAAAAAATCAAAAAAAATAAATAAAAATTAAACCTTGAACGCAGTTTGTTAAAACATTGAACATATTACATCATTTTTAAGACTTCCAATTTTAAAATTAGTATAAAATTAAAAAGTTATGGACTGAGGAAAGCAAGATTTAAGTGGGTTTTGAGGTAATCCATTTTTTAACAGAAAATTTTGATGCAAATTAAAAACTTTTTCTAGTAAAGAGTTTTAGGGAGTTAAGAATAGAGTGCAAAGTGTAAAGGTCAAGTATCTCAAGAGCCAATTTCGACTTGCGCTTATTTCCTTCTTTTTTGGTTTGGATCGCATTCGAATTTTGTGTCAGATCGAAGAGCATCTACAACCATGCATAATTCATGTAGCTGTGTGTTGTTGGCCAGAAACTTTTGCATTGCCGGGCAGAAGAAATTCTTGTTGACCAACAAAGCGCATAATGCAACTTTCCAATGGGGAAACGCCTCTGCCACCCATAATCATTTCGAATTCCACAACAAACAGCTGGAATCAAATTTCGAAACTCGTAAGAAATCTTGCACGCCATGCACATATAGCCACTATTTTTCCCACATTTCCCTTCGCTTTCCTCGGCACTCTTTCATCTTCTTACAGCCATAAACTTTTCAGCCATGGAATACGAGCTTTTGGCACGACGCACACAAAAATGATACGAATGGCGGAGGAAAACCCGGGAGATGTGAGGAAAAACTCTTGTGATTTCAGCAATCAGAATTTTTGGGGGGTAGGGGCGTGGTCGCCGACGTCGCCGCCCACCCGCCGCGCAACTCGTGAACAATATGAAAATAATAAAAACAGTTACATAAATCAAAAGTGATAAGGAAAAACAGTGCATAAAAGTTGAGCATTGAGGAAGGCATCTGAGGGACGAGGCTGCATCGTTTTTTCTTCGAGACTTCTCACTCTTTTTTCTTTCCATTTTCTCTTCCGCAGGATTGCGATGCAAAACGCAAAACAGAGAATCGAAAGTTGAGCTCCATCTAAGAAGGAAATCAACTTGAACAACAGGAAGCGTCTGTGTTGACCTGGCCAAGTCCTTCCCCTTCCCTGGCTTCTCCCCCATTCAATATCAGTCTTTCATTCTGTCGAATGGCAAAGGTGAGAAATGCGTGTCAATTTTTTTCCTATTTACACGAAAGACCCTTCCCGCAAGCAGGAAAGCATCTGCACTGACAAGTGCTGAATTATGGTAGCTGCACATCGGTCCAAATTGGGTTTATAGTGATAGTTGTCCTTAGCTAGGAGTTGAGTTGGCTTATATTTAAGTAAAGGTAAGAACAAACAGACAGAAATGAATAAATACTTGATTAAAACTGATTAAAATAAAAATGATTTAAAATAAAACAAAAAGAATAACATCCCATTTTTCTTAGTTCTTATTGTAAATTTTTGTAAATGTTTTTAACCACTATTTTTATAAGAATGCTTATACTTAAACGCGATTTCATTTATTTTTTTTAGGCTTATTTACATTCTTTAAAATAAAAAAATACCATAATCATAGTTGGCTGCGTCTTAAATCCATATTTCTTTTATTTAAATTCCATCTATGCTACTGGGCATATCTCAGCATTATCATATATACTATCTATTCCTCCCCACTTGGCAATCAGTCTCGCTTAACTCTGGCAATCGGGTGGCGATCGAAACTGCAATTGCAACTGCGGGTGTTGACTTATTTATACGGCACTGCAGTGGGGCAGTGGGAATGCGAAAAAATGTGTAGATCTACCCACTGATTCGACCCAGTGAGATGGTGATTTGTTGTCCTGCCAGCAGACTGTGCATACAAAATTACAGACGACGCTGTCGTCATCCCGAGCTGCTGGCAGTTAATGTGAAAAATGTGTTGAAAATCGCATTCATGCATAGATTTCTTCCCTCACTCCCCTTCGAGAAATGTGCTCCGCTCCGAGTGGATTTGTTGGCAGCCACTCGCACACTTGCCGCCGTCATATTGATTTAGTTGCCCTTTGACCCGGCCAACTCCCCCACCCACCCAGTTCGCTGGGCTGGCAAAACAAATCAGGACGGGGACTGGTTGACTTAAAGCCGACACAAAGCTGCTATGAAATGCAATTAAGCCAACGCCTCCGAGTCGGAATGCGAATCGGGGTTCTGTGGCGAACGGCGGGCGGGGTTTTCCTTCAACTTGGCCACAGGCCACAGAAGCCAAGTTCCGACGATTGTTCGTTCCAGCCAGGATGAGTGGCTAACCGTTGGCCAAATATTTGCTAAGCATCGGTGAGGATGTGCCACGTTCGGAGCCCACTCTTAATGGACCACATTAGAGGCAAAATACGAGCACATTTGCGGCATTCACGAAAAGGTAAACTAACGCCCACACACATCGGTCCGCCCTCATAAATGTGCAATTTATGGACAATAATTGCCAATAAGAGCCGCACAGCTGTCGTCGAGTCTGAAGTTCGTCCGTATAATAAAATCCTCCGACTGGGAGGATACTATATATTCTGATTCTGGGCCTGACTTCCTTTGTGTGTGGAATTCATTTGCATGGCCGGATATATTTGGGTCTTGCTCAATTTGCTCCAGAGCTAAATTGAGGCTGCAGACTCGGTATTGTTGTTATAATTCACTGGCGACTTGGCATTTGCTCTTAGCCTCGAACTGACTCTGATTTGTGACTGAAATTGGCTAATAACCGGACTTATAGTTTGTGTACTCAAATATTAAACACAAATTTCAAAAAGCTAATGCGATTATTTGTTAAGTTAGGAACAAAAAGTTATTTCATAAAAATAAAATGGAAAATGTTGTTTTTTGAAAGCTACAAACGATTGTAAGTTTTTCAAAAGTTAATTAATTTTTCTTTTATAAATTGCGTAATTTTTTAGGTATCAAATATCAAAATTTTTCATCGTAAAAAATTGTAAAATATTTGGTTTTATTTTTTCTTCTATGAATTGCGTAATTTTGTATGTATCAAATAACAACATTTTTCATCGTAAAAAATTATTGAAAATTTTCCTTGTTTAGTCAAAGTGAATCGATTTAATTATTTCTTTGCGACCAAGTTGCAATAATTGGCTTTAATTATAGTCCGCATTCATGCTGCAATTATTAATTCGCAATAAAAGGCTCGGTTGAGTCGCGATTTAATTAAGCCTGATGTACACTCTCCGGAGGAAAACTTTATGATTTTAACGACCCGTAAGTGAGCTGTGCCAATTAATCTTTCGCACAAATCGCGTGCAATTCTACGTTAATTTAATTTCAGAAGCCTACTTTTGCGGGTCAAAAGGGAAAGTTCGCCGTTTCGCGTTTAAATCAATCAAGCTCAGCCATTCGAGCAATTCGCCAATGGTTTATTAATGTTTATATTTTAACGGGTGGCTATTGTATCTGTTCGCTAACCGCAACTGCAACTCCTTCTCGCATCCGTTTGTTTAATGGCCCAAACGCGACGTATTTGCAGTGGCTTTAATGGCAATTTAAAATGTCGGAAAGCCGCAAATTTCCGTTTTTCATATAAAATTAAACGCAAATACGGTGCAAAGAGCGTTTGCACAGACACTCACACTCGCCAAACAATGGCCAACACATACGTATACACACACATACTCGTACTCACGCACACACACAAACGAACACAAATAAACGCACAGTTGGCCGCAACGCGAATGAAAGTTGGTGAGTGCAAACGTGCCGCGAGGAAATTAATTTCCGACAGAAGTCACACAGAAAGGCATCGAGACGCGCAGCCAGGATAATTAAGCCCCCACACAAATACACACACACACACACGTACGTAGTCCATATCCTGGCCACACGTCTCACTGGCTATTTGCCTTGAAGACGGCCACTCGGTGGCGAAAGGATCCGGCTGAAGGATGTAGGCCGCGAGCCATCCGCACCAGAGCCCAAGCCAAAAACAAAACCAGAACCAGAAATGGTAGCCGCTGACAAGCGACGGCCGCCCAACTCACGGTCAACGGACAAAAAGACAACGGACAACGGACAGCAGGCAACGGACAAAGGACATGGGACCTCGGTGGACATTCGAGCGAGGGATGCCTGTGGCCGTAGGCTAACTTGGGCGCAGCTGTCATCGCGCTGCGATAAATTTTGGAGGCCAATGTCGGGCGGCGACATAAATCAGCCCAGAGATTTATGGCGATTTGCGTTGCGCAAGTTGGCGTGCGCGA